AAAAAAAATGTTTTGGAAGGAGTAATCCGGAAAAAAAGGACATTTTTTGCAAGGTTTCGTTTTTGTTTTTTTGGTTTGATACCCCACAAAACACCACGAGCCGGGTTTCCCTTTCCCTCTTCTCTTATTTGGGGACCCCCAACCGGCGCCCCGAGGGGGGCGCCCCCCCCCCCCCCGCCCCTGATCTCGGGGTCTGGATGACCGCCCCCCGCCTGGGCGCTTATTAATTTTTTGGACCTTGAGAGTGGACGCTTATTCAAGGTGGGCGCTTATTAAATTTTCACCATTTTCAGCAAGTGAAGTACGTTTTTTTTGCAACAAAACAATAAATGCTAATAACAAAACGCGTAGAAGTAACAAAGCAAGGTTTCTGTAAAATACTCTGAAGAAAACTAAGTCCTCGGGGGAGTCTCTTATTAGAATTTATTCACTCAAGTGGGTGGGGTGGGGGTGAGGGCTTATTTGAGTTTGATTGGGAGGAGGAGGGGGTGGGCGCTTAGTAGAGGCTGGGCGCTTATTAACTTTTTCTGCTTTCAGGATGGGCTCTTATTCGAATAAATACGGTAACTAACTGCAGGCCAGTCCCAAAGTATTTTTTTAATATATTTCCGTATTTAAGTAAGAGTTGAAGTTAAAGGTTCAGAATACAAAAACCAATTCTGCACATTTTCGAACCTCAAGTGAGAAGAACCTTTATTTTACTTCCGAAGCAAACATTTTTCCTTATTTTCGTTTACGTGGCACAAGTATGTTTTAGTCCTACCTCCGTAAAAAACAACAACAAAAGCACACTGAATTTGCCATTTTTGCTAAGGAGATACGTCTGAAAGAAGGAGGGGAAAATCAACGGTTACTCGTCCTATGCATTGGGTATTGCCTCACCCCAGGCGGGTTATATGCCTTGCGTGGCGCTTACGTGGTGCTCGGAGCTTCATGGGAACTTACCTTCCCAAAATGACTAGAGGCAGGGCTAAAAGATCCCCCTGAATGTATTTTAATTATGACAGCTAGTTTTAGCTGCACGTTTATTACGGAAACCCTTTTTTATTGACTTAAGACGTGTTGTTATGTGCTTAGCTGCATAGTTTTTACTGAAATGCGTCAAAAGAGTACCATTTTGAGTTCAAAAGGGTTAATTTGACAAGAAAATATTTTACAACATCTCATCTAGAATTTCGACAACTATTTTTTTGTGTGTAAAAAAAACCTCGATTCGCAATTCATTCTGCTTTACGACACAAACAATTAAGACTAGAATGTGATTTTTATACGAATTTACCAACGGCCCAGTGGTTACTGTTTTGCTGCAATTAGTGTAGTACACATAACCTTAATCCTTTGACGACTGCGTTAGTCGTTATCGCTCCACATGGGAAGATGCATATTTTCCTTCCTTGACCCATTTAACTTTCAATTTAAGTTAATAAATTGGTTAGTAACAACGTCAGTAAAGATAGATCTTTCCAGCGATGCCTCGTTTTGGATATTCTGACCTATCCTGACAGAGTTACACTCTCAAAAAAAGGTAACATTTTGGGGAAAAATCCACCGCCAATTTCGCTGTTTACATACTACTCTTTGAAAATTAAATTTTTCCCTTTTCTAAAAAGTTAGCCAACCACAATTTTTCGTGAAAAAGAAAGACGATAAAGTGGGTAACAAAACCGCTAAGAAAAGAAGAAAGGCAAAGGAAAAAAAGAGCGCGAAAGAGAAAATTCGAAATAGATTCGCCAAAAAACAAAACAAAACGAGTCCAAATTTTCGCTTTTGCGTATGCGTGAAAAACAAGTAGTACTCATCTTCTTACTTTGCCTCCTTTGACGCACCTTCATTCCTTCCTCTTCTGGGTCTAATTCACAAGAAAGATAATTGTACAATAAACATATTATATGAGCTTTATGCACTCGCCAATGGTATTTTATTATTATATAATGCCCTTAACTCGAGCTCTGAAACAAAATTATTGCAATACTTTCAAGCGTCTGTCAGATTAAAATTTGTCACCTAGTTGCTGTCTTTTTCGCCAAAGTGCATGGCTCTAATGCAGACCTTAGAAAATGCAACCTTGACCGCGAACAAAATTTATGCACAAGGTGGTTCGTAAAATCAAACCTGTCTTAGTGAATTATGTTATCCCTAAACGAAGGTACCTCTGTCAGCTTTAAGCGACATTTATCCTTCTTGAAAAATCAATAAAAAGAGGTTGCAACTTACTTTGAAGTTCGTCCTGTTGAATGTCTTCAAATTCTTCTTCTGGAATAGAAAGAGAAACTTGTACCAGAAGAGCCAGAGCGCAAGCAACAGTAAGCCAGCCAACCGCCATTCTGCCGGCAAAACTGGAAGAGAAACGAGTGTATGAAGTTGACCACACTAAAGTAGTTCCTTCACGCTTAGCGCAAGTATGTTTACCTCACCTGCGCGATGTCATCAAGAACGCCATTGAGAGCATTTTTCGGCACAAAAAAGAAAGGGTTTTAATGGATTTCTTTGTTTACTGCTTTTAAAGGGGTTTTCTCAGTGTAAGTATTGTTTACGGTGCCTGGACGAGACTTCTAAGGGTCTTTTTGTGGAATAATGACATTAGGCGATGCTACTTGTTCACCTGAAAAAGGAACAAAAGGCTGTGAAGAAGCAATTAGCGCAAAACGAGTCTTCTCTATAGCAGTTGTTTGTTTTACGAACAGATTTTTCCTCTGCAATTTAAAGAAATTGACTTAAGTATCTATTTTTACGATGTACTTGCTGAACTTCAAGTACCTAGTATGTTACAGCGGTTCACAAAATGGGAGGGATGCAAAGTTCTCGCACTTAATTTCGTCGCCCGTTTTTTTCAGACTTTTCGTTTTTGTCCATAGTCCTCTAGGCGCTGTCTTTAGTATCATAACATAAGAACGATCTTAGGTTCAACCTGAAACCGGCTTAACCCAACATATCTCTTGTATAAGGTAAAAAAGATCTGAACATGATTAACTTTTCCTACAAAATAGCTATAGAAATCCTAAACTGGTAGATTCAGCCGAATAGCCGTTACTGTTACCGCTGCATGCTCTGTTATCCGATATTTGTATTTCAATTTTATATTTATTTTGTGTAGAGAAGAATCGCATACAGACTTGGTCAACAATTAGACTTTGCACTAACTAAATAAAGTTTGGTTTTTAATTTATCGTACGTATGGCTGTCTGAGTGGATTCCAATGTTATCTGGTAACCAAGTTAAGACTTGAGGGCCTTTCTCCCTTAGGGCTGTCTACATTAAGAATTAACTATACAAGCTTTTTACTAGAAATGCCACTGACGAAGAGTTTTTGCCAAAGAGAACGAAAAAAAAGAACAGAAAGATATTTCAAAAAATTCTGCGCTTTCTGGAAACTTTTTTTTTCTCGGAGGTTTCTACGAATTTAGTTAACAGAAAGAAAATGAAACATTTCGTCGGAGGTAAGATGCCCCTATTTGAGAAATAATTCCCGTGTGAATAAGAATTTTTCTTCTTTATCGTTATTGCAAACACCTCATTTTGACCGGCAGAAAAATTATCCCGTTGAAGTATCTATGTCAAACATAATCTGGAAAAGAAAATTGAAAATCCTATCTTTTCGAATTTAATATGTAAGAAAGAACAGTTAGGGGCGCCTGGTAATACATAATCCAACTAAAAAAAAGGGTTGAGTTATTATTTCCAAAATGTTTTTGCGAAGACTAAGTAATACAAAGCAAAGCGATGGTTTTCTAGAGCTTTTTCTTTACTCAAATTTGGAATAGAAATATATTTTTTCATCTAGGCTGGTTGCGTAACGTGAAGTATCCTGAAAGTATTTACTCAGCTTCACCAACTGTGTCAAATGAGAAAACCGTGTGGCATTATGGGCACCTAACTATGAAGGGTGATTTCCGCCAATATTAACTTTCAAATTTTGTTGTTCCATTCTCTGCCAAATATGGTCATGTTCAGCACAACACACATTATTTAGGGAGCTTCAGCAAAGGCGTTTTTGAGCGACGCACGCCAACCGGAAGTGAACTCTACTCCGTTTTAAAAGGCCATTAAGCTCCCAAAAGTTTGTATTGCTTAGTGTCCTTAGTCTTATAGAGACGCTTTAATAGAAAATTTAGCAAAACCACTGCCTATGAATGCGAAAAGTTCTCTTCCGGTTCACGTGCGTCGCTCAAGAACGTGTTTGCGTGTCTTCAGGCATTCCGCTATTATTCAGACAGTGGAGAAAGGAGCGAACGAGAGAGCAGAAAAAACAACGAGGAATAGAGGAGGAGGTAGGAGCGAATAGTA